ATGGATCAGAGCACAATCAACAGGGAAATGACTTAACATTATGTGCTCCTGCACTTTATAATACTCAAAACAAACATTTGTGGATATGGAAAAAAACAAAACAAAACCTAGAATCAGAAATTTAAAAACTCAGAAATCAAGAAATGGCAAGGAGAAATTTAAAAAGAGTTGATTGAACTCAGGAAAGAAAGGTATAAAAAATGTCTCAGAAATTAAATTATAGGATGCTTAAATGATAATAGACTCAAGTCAAAAAATTTTAAAGGGCACTGAAGAAAGACATAAAAACAAATAATAGAATGAAAAAGAGAAAAAGAAAGAAGTAAAAAAAAAGTTAGAAAGCAGTGGTAATGAAGATAAGCAAAAAAACAATAACTGTCATATCACTGGATTCCCTGAAGAAGAAAACAAAGGAAAAAACAAACAAACAAAAACTCTACTATTTAAAACTACAATCTAAAAAAACTTACCAGTAATTACAAAAAGACTTGAATATACACAGTAAAAATGCCCACTGGGTAGCCAGGAAAATTAATATAAAATGATTAACTCCAAAACATATCATAGTAAAACAGATTTCAAAGATTAAAAAAAAAAAAATCCTCAACGCTTCCAGGCAAAATTCTCAAATAACTTATAAAAGAAACAAAAATTTGCCACACACACATGCACAATCTGCACGCATTCTTTGGTACTTCTGTCCCCTAAAAGACTGAGTTGTAGGTGCATTTTACAATCTAAAATGGCACTACTCTTAAAGAAAAAGAAGCAATCCAACAAATTCAAATTGAAAGACCATTAAAATGTTTTCAAGTTCAAATTGTTAGTATAAATTCTCATAGATTACCTTAAAAAAATAAATATATTGGTTTGTCTCTGGATAATATGCATACAAATGGATAAAAGATGTAACCTTTTAAGATTTAGGTCTAACCCTAGACTGGTTCAGATTTTAAATCCTGGAAGTCATGTCTGTATTATTATGTTGGCTGCCCATCTAATACCATTGACACGACAATGTTTAAAGCCTCTGAGCTATACTTGCAGTTGACAAAGTAGGCTGTAGATTTCAGCATAATTATCATCAAAACTGTTAAAATTATAATTCATATTCATTACAAGTTGTAAATGTTATATTTTCTAATTAAAGGATGATTATTTTTAAAAGGAAAAAATAAAAAAGTGTTAGAAAACTTAAACAGATCAATTACAATAGAAAATATTGGAAAGGAGGCTAAATACTTAGCATTGAAAAAAACACCAAGTCTTGATGGCTTCACAACTGAGTTAATATTTAAAGAATAGGTAATTTTAACACTAAATTATTCTAGTTTATAAAAAAGGATGAAATCTTTTTCTCAATTCAGTTTAGGAAGGGAGCATAGCTTTAATACTGACATCTAATAAAATCATAGTTAATGGAAACTGCTGATGAATCTCCCTTATGAATACAGGTGCAACATTTAAAAAAATAGCAATGTAGCAAACAAGTAACACACTATGACTAACCAGTGTTTATTCGAGGAATGCAAGGGTGGTTCATGTCAGTATATCTATCAACATAAGCTATTATCTCAACAATTTGCAAAATTAAAAAATATATGTATGAAAATAGTAATAAATATTGATAAGTTCTTTGATAAAATTCAGCAGACATTCCTAAAACTTATAAGTAGATTAGAGTAGAATAAATCTATGTAAATATAATAAACCTATTTACAAAAAACCAACAGCAAGTAATTTTTACATGTCAAAACACTAAAATAATTTCTACTGACATCAGTAACTAAACAAGAATGACTTATTTCATTATTATTATTCAACATTGTTTAGAAGTCTATAAATTTTATTACAGGAAGAAAGATAAATAATGGGTGCTAACGTTTCAAAAGGATCCCTGGTGGCACAGTGCTGCTAACCAAAAGCTCAGCAGTTTGAACCTTCCAGCCACTCCACGGGAGATAGATGTGACAGTGGGCTTCATATTTACAGCCCTGGAAACCCTATGGGCAGTTCTACTCTGTCCTAGAGGGTCTCTACGAGTTGGAATCAAATTGACGGCAGCGGGCAGTGGGAATGTTTCAAAATAAAGAGATATACCTATCTTTTTGCTGGTAGTGTGCTTGAATAATTAGAAAATCTTGAAGAATTATAAAAAATTCATATTGGAATTAATACAGGAGGTTAGATATACGATAAATACATAAAAAACTAATAACTTTTCTCTTAGTTGCAATAAAACCCATTGTCATCAAGTCAATTCCAACTCACAGTGACCCTACAGGACAGAGTAGAACTACCCTACCGGGTTTCCAAGAAGCAGCTGGTGGATTCGAACTGTCAACCTTCTGGTTAGCAGCCAAGCTCTTAACCACTGTGCCACCAGGGCTCAGGGCTCCTTAGTTGCAATAAATCCGTTGTTGTTGAGTCAATTCCGACTCATAATGACCCTATAAGCACCCAAAAATAAGAAAACATTTCATTTCTAATAGTAACAAAGTACATAAACTATTCAGCCAGGGATGAATGAACAAGAAACTGTATCACTATGAAAAATATTAAAAAGCTTAGTGAAAGTTATAAAATACAATCTAAACAAATGGCAACAGACTATGGTCTTAGGTGGGAAGACTTAACATAAATATGCCACTGAAAATTACATAAAATGTATTGCATTCCAATTAGAATCCCAAAAGATATTTTTGGAGAAAGACTGGCTAAAATATCTTAAATTTGTATGGAAAAACAGATGCCTAAGTAAAGCTAAAAAAATTATGAAAAAAAAATGGTAAAGGTATCAGGTAATGCAATAAAGACACTATAGTCAAATTAATTTGGAATGTTCAAAGTATTAGACAAATAAATCAATGAAACAGAAAAGACTCTAGAAATAGTTCTCAGTATTTATGAAAATTTTGTATATAACAAAGTGATGGGAAAATGATCAGTATCAAAAAGATCAGGCAACTAATGGACAATTGCAAAGGATCCCTGGTGATGCAGTGGTTAAAACACTCACTTACTAACCAGAAGGTCGGTGGTTTGAAGCCACCAGCAGCTCTATGGGAGAAAGATGTGGCAGTCTGCTTCCATAAAGATTTACAGCCTTGGAAATCCTATGGGGAAGTTCTACTCTGTCCTATAGGGTCATGAGTCAGAACTGACTCGACAGCAGTAGATTTTTTTTTTTTTCTGAGCAACTGCAGCTAATTATCCATTTGGAAGAAAATAAAATTAGGTTTCATTTTACACTACAAACAAAAATTAACTCCAGATGGTTTAAAAACTTAAATGTAAAAAGAAAGCAAAACAACCAACCAAACCCCAAAACCACATGAAGATCACCCAGGAGCGGAAGTTGAAAAGAGACAAAGACCTTCCTCCAGAGCCAACAAAGAAAGCCTTTCCCTAGAGCCAGCACCCTGGATTTGGACTTCTAGCCTCTTAAACTTGAGAAAATAAATTTCTGTTTGTTAAAACCACCCATTTATGGTATTTCTGTTATGGCAGCACTAGATAATTACCAAACTATTGCCCTATAGGACAGAATAGAACTGCCCTATAGGGTTTCCAAAGAGTGGTTGGTGGATTCAAACTGTCAACCTTTTGGTTTGCAGCTGTAGCTCTTAACCACTTCACCACCAGGGCTCCCTAGATAACTAAGACAGCCCCTAATCAAAATTTGTTTCTGATATCAAGACTGATAGGGACACACACTAAGAGGGTATGAAAAGTTTTATTATTTAATTATTGAGGCTTTCCAGGGAGTGTAGGGCAGAGATCTCCTAGGCTTGTCTGAAAATAGCTTCAGAACACTGAGAAAGGAGATTGCATTGAGATTTATATGGTGTTTAAGGGATAGGACTAGGTTGAGAGGTTCTATGCATGGGAAGGGGTTTGCATAGTTTGAACTTCACCAGGGCCAAAGAAGGGAAAGATAGGGCTTTCTTACTGCTTGCCCAGTTGTGGGGCAGAAAGGGAAGTGTGAGGGGTGAAGCTTAAAAGCTGTCGGCAATCAAATGTCAAAAAATGGAGTCAGACTCTTTATTACAAATGCTTTAAAAATTATACTTGTCAATATTCAAGAAACATGTTCAGCTTTATATTTACATGTGTGTATGTTTGTATATGTATGCCTTTGTTTTAGTTTAAATAATTTATATGTCTAGTTTTTTGGAGAAACTTAATTGTGTAAGTGCCAATATCCCAAACTATACTTAAGGTCTTCAGAAATATCTATTTCCAAAAATTAGTAAAAATTAAATAACCAAAATATTGGACTTTAATGCAGCTATAAAATTAATCTGAAATCACTTCAGTATGATCAATATTACTAGAACATAAGGTCCCAAAATGAAGGGAATGTGTCTCTTTCATTATTATATACCATAAGCACTTATAACTATACTTTGTAAAACAGATGCTTAATAAATGAATCGGAGAATAAATCTGATAAACACTAATTTATGAAAACGAAGTCTAGATCTTAACTGTGAAGAGTATGCATACAAATTTTAAAAAATAATAAATTTACTGGGAATAAAATAATTTTACAAGGATTTCTAAGTAATAATCCAAATAACAACTTAAATCTAGGTTACTTATTTTTTTTAATTATGGAAAACAATTATTTAACTTTTAACAAAACAACTTGCAAACAGTTGTAAGTTACTTGTTACATATTTACTTCAAATCCCTAACATCAAACTGAGTAACATTTCAAAGAAAATTATGATGATGTAAAAGTGAACACACAGTATACATGTTAACACATGAATTCATATTAGAATCTACTTCAGTGGCTTGAGATATTGGTAGAAAAAGAATACACTATAGCCAGCCATTTCATATTAAACTTTTTATTAAAACTGTGTCTTTACAACATATTTAAAATGGCATGTCCCACAGACAAATATTCAAGGAAAAAAATTTCCATATGCAATTATTGGTACACAAATTTAAGAACATAATTAAAACTAAGCTAAATATTTATATATATATATATATATATATATATGAATATATATATATATATTCAAATTCATGTCAATGACCTGGAATACCTGAGTTTTCAAGTTGTTGATTTTCCAGATAGTGTAAAACTTTTTTTCATCCACTTTATGGCAGACACAGTCCATCCAGAATGAATAACTTTGGTTGATAGATGCTGTCTCCCAAAGATCACACAGAAGTCCTCAATGGGATTAAGATTTATCTTCAGAGGTTTCTTCCAAGTGGAGGTCAGTCTGTGATGTAAGGAAGGATTCCCATGTAGCAAGGCACTAAAAAATGGAAACATACCACCATGAGATCAAAACAGTTACTTTCAATATCAAAAACACTAATAAACATTAACATATCTGTTCCTATAGCAGTCTGTCCTACTTTCTCCCATCAACTTGCAAAATCTTTGTCATTTTCTACATATTTTAATTCTTAATAAGGGATGCTATTGTTAAATAAGGGAAAAGCCATATTAATGGTTAAAAGACTAGCACTACTGTTGTTGTTAGCTGCTGTCGAGTCAGTACCCAACTCATAGAAAGGACAGTTGTGCTCTATAGGTTTTAATTAGCTGATTTTCAGAAGTAGATTGTCAAGCCTTTCTTGTTTCTTTGTCTTAGCCTGGAAGCTCCACTGAGACTTGCTTAGCATCACAGTAACACACAAGCCTCCACTGACAGATGAGCGGTAGCTGTGTCTGAGGTGCACTGGCCTGGAACTGGACCCACGTCTCCTGCATGGAAGGCAAGAATTCTACCTCTGAACAACCACTGCCCTCAGCATTAGTTCTTTAAATAATCCACTACTACTCCACTGTTAGAATAGAAAACAGAACCCTGATCTATAGACAAAAAGATGGACATGTTTTGATCCGAGGAGTCAGGCATTACGGATCTAGAAAAGTAATACAAGCACAGCCTTGAACAGATTTGAATCCCGCTCTATCACGTGTGAGCCATGTGAATTTGGGAAAGTTGATGAATCTTTATTAGTTTCTTCAGCTATAAACTAGACTAATGATAGTACTTACTAAAAGGGCTATTATGAAAATTAGATGAATAAAATCTAACTCTGTGTAAATCTCTGTGCAGAAATGCTTGCCTGGCACAAAGTAAATGCTCAAAAAATCAGCAATTATTATGCTATAATGGTCTGTTGGGATCCCGTGGTGAGCCTTGGGCATTAATGTGTCACAGGAAATGAAAAAGGATCAGAAGGGATTGAAGGTGGTGGTGACACACAAACATAAATGTGGCTTATTGCATGATTTTGCCTAGGGCTGCTTTTCTGAATAGATTAGTCTAAATTATCCATGTGAAGTTTATCCACAGCATAATTTTAATCTTCTGTGCACATTTATGGTTCTTCTAAAACGTATTTACTATAATGGTGAGTCAGCCTAAGTTACACCTAATTAGGAAAGAAGATGTGCTTTTTCCAACGGTGGACAGATTGTTATATGCGTGTATTTTTTACATAATACATTTCAAAGCTGGACTTCTCTTCCTAAATATTACCCGACTTAGGAAAAGTACTATTGCATTTCTTTTCCCTCTAATCCTTTTACATTTTTAATATGCCCATATCTGACAACCAGTACTAACTGGCAAACCAGATATTTCCCAAACACTATAAAAACACAAATCATGAAAACCCTCATTATAAGTGGGCTATGTTCCAAAAAGTATATGTGTGTGTGTGTTTTCAAACTGATCATTTAGAACTTGTAAAGCATTTTGTCAAATCAAGTTTTTATAAAGGTTATATATAGTTACGAGATTCTGCGACAGCCCCCAAAGAGTATGAAATTAATAACGTGGCCATTAGACTGCATATTTGCATAGGAACAGTAGGTAATACTGTTGAAAAATCTAATTATCAAATAAAAACAAAAGTTCTGGGTAAACTGTATTGTAATACATTTATTTTGAAAGCTCAGCTTGAAGAAATGTAGGTCTTATGAGAATAATCAAGTCTATGGAAACTTTAAGGGATATTTTTGCTTTAAAAAGCTTTAGAGGGTACTGGAAGCAAAGTATAATCCAAGAAGCATAGTCACTGTAATGAGTCAGACATGGGTCTCCCTTTATCTTTTGGTGAATTACTAACTCTCTACTTCATTACATGTACAATAGTAATAATTTATCTCATAAGGATAGAGAAATAACTAAATAAAATAGGGATACAAAAGAACAGGTAGGGAAGAGAAATAGGACCAGGTAGCTACTACAGAGACCATCAGGTCATAGTGGCCTCTTTTTAGATGGGATACAAGAAGAAGACAGATGTCTTTAAGTACATCTACATATTTACACCCATGAAAGAGAATAAAAGATAAATGCTTCACATTTAAAATATTATTCAAATTAGAAATCAAAGTAATATATAATTGACCAAACTATACCTGATTTGGGATGGGGGAGCATAAAACACTCACTCATTCAATAAATATTTTTGGGTTTTTACTGTGTGCCAGGTACTATGATAAGTGTGAGGGTAATAGTCCTTGACCTCGCAGACTTGTGATTTAGCAAGTAACACAAATGAGCAAAGATAATCAACTACAGAGACTGTGAAGTTACAGGGTATGATGGGAGTAAGCAATAGTGGGATCTGAACCAGACTAGAGTATGTATGCTAACTAATGTTTCCTAGTGGAAGTGATCAATAAGTTGAGACTGAAGGATGAGCAGAAGGCAAACAAGGTAAATCCATGTGTATGATTTTGGAACGGCAAGTGGGAAAAGAGAATATAGTGTAGTGGTTAAGAACTCAGGTTCAGGACTTCTGCTGCTGGCCAACATAGTGTAACAGGGCCTGAATTTACTCTTCTGCCAAAAACCAAACCAAAGCAAAATAAAAGAAAAAACCAACAACAAAAACCTCAAAATGTATGAAACAATGTTTTTCAAGACCCTGGACATCAGGCAATGAAGGAGAGTGATCCTTGAGAAATGAGAAACAAATGGAGTGAGTCCTATGATTGTCTCAGCTTACTGCTTTAAGAGAACTTCCAGGTCATGGCAGAGGGAGGGTGAACTTGAATATGGCCTGGCAGATTCCCTTAGCTGAAGAGAAGGAGCTAAGGGAAAACAGCACAGCTAGAGTTCACAGGGCAGAGTGCCAGAGAAGGGAGAGATACAGAGAGAGAGATCTGCAGAATACTGATCAGAGTGTGTGTGACAGAAAACTACCTGAGGCAGGAAAAACCCACTGGTGGGAAGCAGAGTGAACAATGTCTAGCGTTCTCATGGGGCACAGAATAGTGAAGAATTCCACCAAGCAGACTGGAAAACCTCATAATTCATGGAGCATTGGGTAGAATACAAAGAAAGTCTCACTTTAATAGGTAGGAAGGTATCCCTAGACCAAAAGCTGCTCAAGTAACACCTACCTAATCTTAAAAGCAGACCCCAAAGGATCAAACTATTTCCAAGTGACGTGACTGAGTCTCAGAATAAAAGCTCAAGAATAGTTATACAAAAATATCCAGCATAATACAAGGTATAAATCACAATGTGTGGCATCCAATTAAAGATTACCAGGAATGCAAAGAAGCAGGAAAAAACTACCCATAATGAAGAGAAAAATCAATCAATTGTAGCTGATCCAGGACTGACAAAGATGTTAGAATTAGCAGACAAGGACACTGTGTTCCAGATGTTCAAAAAATTCAGTAGAGACATGAAATATATTAAAAAAAGACCCAAATAGAACTTCTAGAGATGAAAACTACAATGTGAGAGATGAAAAATACACTGGAGAGAATTAATGGCATATAAGAAATTTCAGAAGAAAAGATTAGTGAACATGAAAGCTCAGTAATAGAAAATAATCTGACCAAAAACAAAACAAACAAACAAAAAAAAACAAAGCCACACACATACAGAAAATAAAAGAATCAAGGAATGGAAAAAAGGACCAGAGCATCAGTGAGCTGTGGAACAACTTGAAACAGCATAATATACAAATAATTGTATTCCCTGAAAGGAGCAGGCAGAAAACATATCTGAAGAAATAAAGGCCAAACTTTTCCCAAATTTGATGAAAATTATAAATCCACAGATCCAAGAAACCCAATAAATCCAAACATAAGAAATATGAAGAAAAATGACCTATGCCAATTCATAATCATATGCCTCAAAGTGATAAAGAAAAATTCTGAAAAGAAGTCTATAAACAAATATGTTATGTACAAAGGACCAAGGATAAAGATGATAGCATTTCTCATCAGAAATAATAGAGGAGAGAAGTCTATGGAGCAAGATTTTTAAAGTAGTGCCAGAAAAAATACTGTCAACCTAGAATTCTATACCCAGCAAAAATATCCACTATCAATGAAGTAAAAAGACAGATGTTTTCAAATATACAAAAGCTACACGATTTATCACTAGTAGATCACACTACAAAGAGATTAAAAAAAAAAGTCCTTCAGGCAGAAGGAAAATGACACAAAATGTAAATATGGATCCATACAAAGAAATGAGGAGCAATGGACATGGTAACTACATGTGTACACATATGAAATATTTTTTTCTTATTTAAATTTGCTTAAAATGTAATTGAATACCTTATCAACAATAATAAGGTCTTATAAGGGGTCTTCTGTATAAGTAAATGTATGACAATGTATGTATGTATGTAAATGTATGGCAATGTATGTGAATGTATGGCCATGTATGTAAATGTATGGCATAAAGGTCAGAAGAATGGGAATGGAGGGATATAACTGTAGGTTCTTATATGATAGATAAAGTGGTATAACATTACTTGAAGGTAGACTTGTAAGTATAAGATGTATACAATAAAGCTAACAACTAAAATAATGAAAGAGTTACACCTAATTTACTAACAAAGGATATAAGACATAATTATGTAAAATCAACTACAATCCAAAAGAAGGCAAAAATGAGGAAAATGAGAGCAAAAAAACAGACAGGACAAGTAGAAAAATAATAAGATAATAGACTCAAACATAATCATATCAATAATCAACTTATTTGTCAACAGCTTAAACACCTTAATATACAGAAGAAATTTTTCTATTAAATTAAAAACAAGACCCGAGTATATTGTGTTCCTAAGAAATGTACTTTAAATATAAAGACACAAACAGGTTAAAATAAAATGGATCAAAAAAATTTATACCAGGTAACACATGTCAAAAGAAAGATGAGTTGACAGTATTAACATCCAAGAAAGTAGATTTCAAAGGAAAGAATATTATTAGAAATTAAAAAAAAAAAAGACCATTTCACAAGAAGCTAATTCATCTAAA